CGCTGGCGGCGCGCGCGTGTGCCGCCGAGCCACGGAAACCACCCCGACCCTGCAAAAGGACAGCCAGCAGGCGTGGGCTGTTTTTCCTGTCCAGCTCCGGGGGGAGACAACGCCGCGGAGGGGGCGCGCGTCTCTCGTGCCCTGGCCGGGGCTTCTCACCCTCTGTCCCCGCCCCCCCCCCCCCCCCCCTGCCGCCGCTGGAAGGGTGGGGATGCACGGACGAGAGGTACGGTAAATCAGCCAACCAACGATGAGCCCCAAATGACGTTACATAATGTCATTGCGTAGGTCAAATCATATGCCAACGTTGGTGTCATTCGTGGGGACTTGCGTGGCAGACGGCCTGCGCCCTCCGCGCGCACGCGTGTGCCCGCGCCCCTGCCCTGCCCCGGACCTGGAGTTGTGCCCTGCGCACCCCCCCCCTGCCCCTCGTCCCCTTTGCTCGGGCGCCCAGCCAGCGTGTGTCCCCGTCTGTCCAGGCGGCGCGGCCACCGAGATTGACCTCCCCCATCCTAGCTGTGGGAGCCGCAGCCCCGCCCGAGCGCGCCGGGCGCGAGATCTGGTGCCGCACGGGTGTGCACGCGCGTGCGCGTCCACATCCTCCTGTTATTTGGCCGGCCTTCGTGTGGCGTCCCTGGCCGGCCCTGGTCGAGACATGCTCCCCTCCCCCCCCCCCTTCTCGCATTTGTCTTGGTCCCTCTAAGTCCGCCGCTCGTTCCCCCTCCTCCACCTCCCCTCCCTCTCATCCCCCCTCTCCTCCTCCTCCCCCCCCCCGCCCCCCCCCACCAACACGATGACTCGAGTCCGCCGCAAGCGCGTGCACAAGAACAACAAGGAGTTCCGCAAGTCCATCCGGACTCGGCGCCGCCCACGCGATCTGGACCAAATCTACGAGGACATCCATGACCCGGCCAAGAACCAGAAGATGACCAACCAGCCGGAGGACGAAGATCTCCCCGGTCTTGGTCAGTTCTACTGTCTGGAGTGCGCGTACGTCATCCCCCCTCCCCTCCGGCAGGGGCCGCTCCGCCCTTTTACTTGTGTCTTCGGTGTGGCGCCAGCACTTTCGGCGATCTCCCCCTGCCTCCCTCTCCCCCTCCATCGAAGTTGCTGACCCCTCTTCTGCCCCTGTCTGTCTGTCTGTCTGTCCCTGCAACAGTCGCTATTTCGAGGGCCCCGACCACCTCAGCAAGCACAAGCTTTCCAAGCAGCATAAGCAGCGGTATGTTGCCGCTCTCCCTCATCCTGCAGACCTGTCCGCCAACCTCTGCCCCTCCTCCCTTGTCTCCTCCCCCCCCCCCCTCGCACAACGATCTGACGATCCTTCTCTTTCCCTCTCCTGCTGGCAACGCATCTCGCGCCAACAGCGTTCGCGAGCTCAAGGACGAGCCCTACACCCACGAGGAGGCCGAGGCCGCCGCTGGTGCGTCTCCCCCCCTTGCTGCCCCCCCCCCCCCCCTTCCTCTCTCTCTCTCTCTCTCTCTCTCTCTCTCTCTCTCTCCCACTTTCTCCCCATCTCTTTCTCCTTCGGACCCCAGCTAATCCACCTCCCCTATCTCAGGCATGGGCCGGGCCATCAAGTCTCCGTCCCAGGTGAACCGCCCGCTCGGGGTGACCCCCCTGCTGGCCGGCCTTGGGGCCGCCACCCCGGCCTCGGTGCTGGCCTCCCTCAACACCGCGGCTCCGACTGCTCCTCCCCAGTCCGATGACCACATGTCCCACAACTAACCGGTGACCGGACCCAGGGGGGCCCATTCTCCGTGCCGCGCACCTCCCTTCGACTTGTACATTAAACCGCTGATTTTCCACGCCCCACGCGCCCAGCCCCGGCGACTCTCCTGGCGTGGCTATACATCTATTTCTAACATCCCTGGGCATGGGAGCATGCTCATATGTGGGGGGGTCCCAGGGAGAGGGAGGCGGGTAGGAGGGGGACAGGGCAAGAGGGAAAATGAATCCCGCAGCACTTGCTCGCCTCCTTTTCCCCTTCACCTCCTGCCGCATGGTGGCAGCGGGGGTGGGCGGGGCCAGGCTAACGCCTCACCAGCCCTCGGTGGCCACACTCCGGACCTCCTGAGCGGCCTCGCGGGCACGACGGCCGGCGTTGCCTGTTCCCATGCCGCCGATCTTGTTGCGGTTGTTGCGCGACTTGCCAGTGTTGTTGTGGGCGGCCGGCGCACGAGCATTCCCCTTCAGTCGGCGGCGGATCTCCTCCGGCGAGAGGGAGGTCTTGATCTTGGGGTTCTGCAAGAGGGGAGGACAGCATTCACGCAGTTAGTGGGCGGCCATCGGCCAGGCGGAGTGTATACACACACACACACGGGCAGGGGGGGGGGGGGGGGGGGGGGGGGAGCGAGGCAGGGCGATGGCTGCCGGGAAAGGAGGGACACAAATGAAACGGCAATGGCAAGCAAAGTAAACGCCCGTACCCGCTGCTGGGACATGATGCGGTCTTCGGGGTTGGTCGACAGGGCGGACGCCGTGATCTGCACATCGTTCGAGCGGAAGGGCTTCAGGCCGCGGTTCGACGGCGCATGATCCATGCTGAAGGGCTGAGCCGGAGCAGCCTGCTGGGGGATGGCGGCCGGCTCAGCCTCCTCGGAAATGGCCACCTGGGCAATGGCCTGCTCCACATCGCTGGTGCCCTCGGTGTCGCTGGCGCTCTGGGCACTGCTGCCGGCATCCTCCTCGGCCTCGCTGGCGGAGTCAGCTTCCTCGTCGGAGGGGCTGCCCTCGTCGGAGGGGCTGCCCTCGGCATAGGCATAGGCATAGTCGTCATTGTCGTCTGCCTGCTGCCCCGACTGATCGCCCATGAGCTGGTTGTACAGCTGTTGTTGTCGTCGTTTCGTCACCCCCCCCCCCCCCACCACAAGCAAAGAGCACCCAGGGGCAAGGCGAGGGCGGGGCAACAGACAGTGACCAGCAGACATTCGAGTCAGAGGCGGCACAGACGGGGGCAGACAACGAGGAGGAAGAGGCGAAAGGGACATGGAGAGGCCCCCCCCCCCCCTGGGAAAAGAGACGCACATCATCAAACTCCGACAGCTGCTTGGACTTGATGAAGCCGGAAGCCTCGACGGCCACATCAAGACGGACCGGGGCGCGCATGCGCACCACGCCGATGGGCTCGTCATCGCTGTCCTCCTCATCCTCGTCGTACTCGTCGCTGTCCTCGTCCTCGTCCTCGGTGTCCGAGTGATCCGTGTCATTGTCGCTGGTGATGGCTTCGCCGGCGTGGCTGTCCCCGCCGCCGAGCGAAGACCCGAGCGAGGACCCGACCCCGAAGTCGAAGGCCCCATCGCGCATGACAGTGCTCAGATACTGCGTGACGGCCTCGGCCTCGGTGATTTCGACTTCACCATCGCCGGCCACCGCGGCATCGATCTCGGCGAAGGGGTCGCTGAGGCCGGCCCCGGCGCCGGCCTGCTGCCGAGCCAGGTAGCGTTCGTAGCGCTTCTCCGCGCGGCGCATGGGCCGGAGGACGTCCCGCTCGAAGCGCGGCCAGTCCTCACCCTCGAAGGCAAAGCGCCGGCGGAAGAATACCCGGATACACTCGACATCGCGGTCGAAGTACATCTCGGCATTCGGGTGGGAGGTGGAAATCATCTGCGGGAAATCGATGATGATGGGCTTGTCATCGTCCGTCAGCAGGAGGTTGAACTCGTTGAAGTCACAGTGGATCAGTCCCACCAGGGCCAGCTGCACGATGAGGGTCATCAGGGTGGAGTACAACTTCCCCGGGTTGGCCACCTCGCTGACCTGGCAGCTGAGCAGGTGGGGTGGGGCCGCGTGGGAGAGAGAGAGAGAGAGAGACAAATGGGCAGGGGTGCCCGCGGAACAGGGTCAGGCGCATGGAGGGAAGGCAAGGGAGACGGGGGCTGCATGACTGCCGGCATTGTGGGCGTGCTACGTCTGCGTGCGCGCGCGCATGTGTGTGTGTGTGTGTGTGTGTGGGTGGGTGCGTGTGTGGGTGCGTGGGTGCGTGGTCCATCACACGTACAGGGGATACGCATCGATCAGCTCCATGATGACCATGTGCCGGTTGACGTCGATCGGCTTCGGCACGGGGAAGCCATTCTCATAGAGGATGCGCATGAAGGCGAACTCCTTGGCCGCGGCCAAGCGCGACAGGTAGAGCCAGGAGGCGGACTTCCGGTGGCGCAGATAGTCGCGGTTGTTGCGCACACTGCGGAAGGACGTGCGACCGAGGCGATGGATCTTCAAGGCCATCTGGGTGCCGTGCTCGTCGGCCACAATGTGGATGTCTGCCAACCAGAAGGAGGTAAGCAGGCGTTTGAGCGGAGGCGGCGTGTGTGTGTGTGTGTATGTGCGTGTGGGAGCGAGGCAGGGGGGGAGGAGGCCCGCAAGAGGTGGGACACATACCGGACTCCTTGCCGACACCGATCTGGTTGCCAACCGAGACGGCGATGTTGCGCGAGGCGAAGGTGCGCAGGCCAAGGTAATCGTAGCCACCAGCGGTCAGGCGGTAGCCCTCATCTGTTTGTGTTCATGTGTTGGCGTGTAGCCGCGTCAGTGTCGGGGAATCGGAGCAGGCAATGGGTCACGGAGGGCCAGGAGAAGATGGGGGAGGGGGGGGGGGGGGCGCAAACGCACAGTGGACATGGGGCTCCTTGGCGACCATGTTCTTGCGCATCAGCTCGATCAAAATGCGCAGCGTCTTGCTGGGCTGCGAGGACGCAATGCTAACCACCAGGTTGCTTGGGACGACCTCGTGGTTGCGGGATCCCATCTCAACCTGAGGATGCTATGTGAGTGGAGGGGCACCGTGTGTATGTGTGCGTGTGTGTGGAGGGGGGGGGGGGGGGCAACAGGAGCACAGCGGGGACAACAGGAGCACAGCGGGGATAGCAGGAGCACATGGGCAGGGGTGGACGCACGGCGGTCAGCACGCGCGCCTCATCCTTCGAGAGGTAGCGGACTCCTTTGGCGTCGAGTCTCATGCTGAATGTATGCTATGGATGAGTCTGTCCGGGTATCTGTCCGTGTGTGTGTGTGTGTAAGATGGTGGAGGTAGCTGATAGTAGGGGGAGGAGAAGGGAGAGGGGGAGCGGGGGATGGCAGGGCCTCCGCAGGGAGGCTGGCCGCCGAGCGGGTGAGTGTGACAAAAGTCCCCCCATCGAGCTGGCACCCACCATCCGCGCAACATTCGTGTGGGTGTTTTTCCCCCCGGGAAAAGGGCCCACGAGCCGGGGGGGGGGGAATGAGCGGGAGATGCTGCCCTTCTCTCTCTCTCCCCCCCTCCCCCTCTGGGCGCGGGGCGGGCGGGGTGGTACACGCTTGCCATTTTGGCCTACATCTCACGCCCACGCAACGTGATCAATCGAGATTGTGGGTCAATGCGTTATAGTGAAAATGCTTCGATCGGGATGCGGCTGGGGCCGGGACAACGTCTCGTGTCGGTGTGTGGGGGTGCCTGCCCGCCTTCTTCCTATCCCCCCCCCCCTCGCCCTCCGTCTCTCCCCCTCCATCTCTCTCCCCCTCCATCTCTCTCCGCTCCCCCCTCTCCCGATGCGTCCTCCCATCGCCTGCCTTCCAGCAGGAGCCAGCCACATTGAGTGTCTATTTGTACGAGCATCCGACGGGCTGCAATCTAGAAGAAGTGCCCGGCAACAAGGATATTGGCCAGAATGGAGATCTTCCGCGAAAGAGGGAAGCCCACCAAATCAAGCAAGCTCAGGAGGGAGGTGGCAATGCGCTCGTCCGGTGGAAGGAGCGGCGTGCCATCAGCTGCCGGCGAGTTGATCATGGCCAGAAGCTCCTGCACGGCCGGCGAGGAGGCACTCTGCTCGGACAGGGTGTGCACCGCGCGGGAAAACTTGGCCGGGAGGATGATCCCCTCGACGATGGCAATGACCTGCGCGTGGCGGCGGGTTCCCGTGGGCGGAGTTAGCGGGGGACATTTGGCAAGGTACCCACACAGGGTCAAGTGCGGGCACATGGCGGCCCGGACGCACACTCAGAGCTTGGCCATTCGTCGGGGCAGTGGCCAACAGGGTCAGCAGGCAGTCCTGCAGAAGCTGACCCACAGCCAGGCGGTGCTGATGCCAGGAGAAGGCCGCCTGCTCGGAGGCCACTTCCGGATGGGGGGCCAAGTTGCCGGAGTCCATGCCAGACGGACAGGGCTCGGCCCGGGCGCGGAGCAATCGAATCACAGTGGACAGAAGCACCTGCTGTGCCTCAGAGGGCGGGCGACTGACCAGCCACAAGGAAGCGCTGCATGTGTGTGTGTGTGTGGGTGGGTGGGTGGGTGGGTGTGGATGTACATATTTGTGGGTGTGTTTCGGAACCACACGTGCGAGGTGGCGGCGCCGTGTGTCAGAGGGCAGGAAGTGGCGGCAGGGGAAGTGGGGCACGGGCAACGCACCGAGCCAGGTCCAAGGAGCAGGCGGCAAAGAGAATGTCAGGCGTGTCCGGGCCACCGGAGCAGGGGGCGGCCGCACGCGCTGTGGCCAGGAGTTCGGTGCCATGCGCGAGCAGCGCCCCGGCGGCGGCGAGATTCCCATTCCGGGTGAGCAGCTTCGCGGCCTGAACCATGCACAGGAGCTGCTCCAGGGCAAGGGCGCCCGGGCCCGAGGGGTCGCGAGCCACCATCGCCCGAGGGAACATGTCGTCAGGCAGGGCCCGGAGGAGATCCACCGCACGCGAGGGGGACAGCAGCCCTTGCAGCGAGTGGAAGCCGGCCGCCGCGCGGGCCGCCACGGCCGGCGAAGCACGCAGCACCGAGTGGTCGTGGGCCGCCGTTTGATCGCCGGCAGCGGGGACATTGGCGCTGGACACCGACGCGCGGCCGGGCAGACCGGCCGCGGGGGCGCTTCGGCTGGGGGTGGCCGGCGCCGAGTCGGCCCCCGGGGGGGCATACAGGGCCGTGTATGGCTCGCCATCATGGATGGCCGACGGCGGGAGGGTGGTCGCCAGCAAGCCGCAGAGAGTCAGCACGCAGGCGCGCATGCGCGACCGCCACAGGTCCAGCCCAATCCGTGCGTCTTCCGGAGTCAGGTGGTGAAGCATCGGCTTGGCGGCGGCGGCAGCATCGGCCGTGCCGGTGCCCGGGCTGGCCGCCTGCTGGAGGGGAAGGCTCTTGGGGGCGGCCGGGGCCTTGGCCGCTTCGGCGTCGGCCAGCAGCCGGACAATCGCACGGCAATGGGCCAGCAGGCGTCCCAAGCGCCGAGTGGCCTCCGTGTGGCGCTGGACAAAGTCCGACGGAGGCGGCGCCGGCGATGAGGGTGTCGATGACACACACGCCGGAGCCAGGGCATGCAGTAGCCGCAGGTGAAAGGGGACCCAGGTGGTGGTGAGGACTTCAGCAGCCTCGATGGCGGTCTCCTCGGCAACGTCCGGCTCCTCGGCCTGCTGGAGGAAGGCCTCGGCCTCGGCGAGGGCCTCGGCTTGCAGCCCGGCGCGCTCCAGACACAGCAGACGCGCGCTCAGCAGCCGGGCAAAGGCGTCCGGCCCGGGGGGGGGCTTGGCACGGAGGAGCCGGCCAATGTGTTCGGCCAGGTGCAGCGGATGGGTGCCCCAGCGGGCCTGGCGCTCGGTGGCGGTGATGGCATCCTCCTCGCCGGCAGGAGGCACGAACCCGGGCGCCGGCTTGGATGACAATTGCGGCAGGGCCTGGGCCGTGTGCAATTGGAAGAGGGTCTGCAGCCAGAGCGGCTGGGGCGAGGGGGGGGGGGGGGGGGGGGTCAGCCGGGGCAACGGGCGCGAGGGGACGGGCGAGCCGGGCGGGTGCCAAGCGTACAGGCTCCGCGGGATTCGGGTCTTGACCGGCGGCGGCGGCGACACTGGCGCTGGGGTACTCCGGCAGGGGAAGGGCATCCAGGCGGCCGACAGGAGCCGGTGCCCCGGAGCACACGACATGCCCCCGGGCGTGGGCGGGGTGGTGGTGTTGCGGCCGGCTGAGCCACAGCCGGTGGAGCGCCACCAGGCGCGAGTCCCGCAGGTCGGCGGTCATGCCTCGGGGGGGGGG